GCTGCCCGCCCGCTGGGGCGGAGCCTGGGGGGAAAACAGCATTAACCCTGGGTTCTTCGACGCCTGAGCCCGATGACTTCAACTCCAATGGGGGCCTGTCTCAGGAGGGCCCTACTGCTCTCATCGTGGTCTCCATCCTGAGGGCCCTGCTCGTGGTGGTGGGGCTGGTGCTCCTGGTATGGAAACTTTGGGAGAAGCAGCAGATGGAGGGCACCTACCGGTCCAGCAGTGAGGAGCAGGTGGGTGCCCGTGCGCCACTCCCCCCCCCCATACACAACGTCAAGCTGCCCTGGGAGGAGCAGCTCATCTGAACGCTGGGGCCAGTTACAGCCACCGCCACTGCGAAGGACTGCCCAGCGCACCCTGGGACCCAGCAGCTGCCACCAAGACAGCAGCCTCTGACAGCTCAGGAGGACTTGGGGGACACGGGGGCACCGGGCTGGCGGGCTCTGCAGCATGCTGCCTCTGCTTGACTCTGCATGCAGCCGGGCACACTGGGGGTGGGGACCCGCCTCCCCGCTTATTGCATGCTGGTGTGCACTATTCCACCGCCACTGCAGGCCCAACATCCTCCCTCCTTTCCTTCAGTTCTCCCACGCAGGCGAGCCCGGGGCTCCCCAGGACTCCAAGGAGACTGCAGGGTTGCCTGCCCGTCTAGGTCCCCTTTCCTTCATCCATCTCCTTTCCTTGCTGTGTGACCTTGAGGGAAGGCAGCGCCCTCTCTGGGCAATCAGATTCATCCAGCGCTTAAGACTAGAAGGGAAGAAGGTGCTTAAAGACTCTGTCCCAGAGGGCAAGGGAGGTTGGGCTATTCACTTTTTACATGTTTATGTTAACATGGTAGTGAGATATAATAAAGGTGTTTTTTAAAATTTGTTTTAAAAATGTATATCACTGCCCTTTGCCTCTACCCGATCTCTTTTTCTCATTAACTACGCCCAGGGTTGGTGAACTTTCTGAAAAGGGTCAGATAGTAAATACTTTGGGCTTTGTAGCCATATGCAAGGTTGTGAATTCTTTCTATTTGTATGCATTTACGTACAGTATTAATTTATTTATTTTGAGGCACTGGAATTGAAAACAGAGCTTTCTGCTGAGCTACATCCCTAACCCTCTTTTTAATTTTTTGTTTTGAGACAGTCTTGCTAATTGGCTCAGGCTGGCCTTGAACTTGTGATCCTCCTAACTCAGTCTCCTGGAGTGCTGGGATCACAGGTGTGTGCCACCCTGTGCAGCTTGTTTCGTTTCTTTTTTTCTAGCAATCCTTTAAAAATATAAACATGACTCTTAGCTGGAGGGCTATATAAGAACAGGTTGAGTGGAAAAGGAAAGAAAACGAAACACAAGCAGGCTGAGGGTGGGACTCTGCTCACAGGCTGCAGTTTCCCTCCTGAGCTCCACCACTGTGAGCATCCTAAGCTCAACCCTGAGTTACTACTTCTGTCCCCTAATTCGTACTGCAGTACTAAGCATAGAGTAGGTTCTCAGCAAACACAGAACTCAGTTAAACTGGTTGGGGTACGGACAGAGAAGAGAAAGAAAAGTCAGACTGGGCCTGACAGGAAACCAGGCCTACAGCCCAAACCGAGAACCCAGCGGTTTGCGGTAAGGGGAAAGGCAGCTTCTCTCAGTCACAGGTTCTCTCCCATGGCCTTGCAGGTCACAGATCTCAAAGCTCTCCCATTTCAAGCAGCAACTCTGCCTCCGTAAACAGCTGGCTCCTCACTCGTCTCCTCACAGCACGGCTGACAGCAGCCCAGAAAGAGCATACCCTTCCCCAGGGACTGCCCTGTTCTGCGTTCCTTGGTCCGGGTATGTGGTTCTCCGGCTACTCAACACTCCAAAAGCTGCTGGCTTGAAGATAGCATCTCCCTCCAGAGGTAACAGTGACTTGGCAAATATAGAATTACCTACTTAAATGCTATGAATTTAATTCTCAGGGGATGGCCAGGAAATCTTCCTGGTTAGTTTCTGGATGGAAGCAAGTTAGGAATAAATGCCCAGAAAGCTGCACAGCCAACCACAGTCACAGCCACAGTCCCCATCCTGGAACCATCAGAAGGCCAGAATTTTGCAGTGTTTCCTGAGAAATTTCAGAACCTGTGCTATGGCTTCCCCTAAGGCATTCTTGTTTCTGCAGCTCAAGCAGTCTGAGGTCAGAGCTGTATGCCCCAAGAGAGGGGTAACTCTTTCCTCTAGCATCCAAAATGCCCAGGATGACCGTCAGCACCTGCCCTGTTGAGAGCTGTCTTGCTGGGTCTGGGAGAACATAGAGGGAGGGGGAGCAGAGATGCTCTTTCATGTTCTGCTTGGTCTTCAAACTCCACAAAGCGGTGGAGCCACCCACAGAACACTGGCTCTATCTCCAGGCACTTCCGTCCTCCTCTTTCTCATCTTGAGATCCCAGAATAATTCACTGCAATGTTCTTTGTCAAGTCTGTGCCACCCCATATTCACCTCCCCATTTTTACGGAAGGAGAAAAAGGAACAAATGGTCCCTTGGGCGTTGTAACCAAGCAAGCAGATGCTTCCAAAGGAAGGTAAGTGGTAGATGCGTAACCGACTGACGGAGGAAAACACATTATCTAACCAACCAAGCTTCTCTCTAGTGTAGCAAGTCCCACATTTTAGATAAGAAAGAAACAAAAGGGTGGAAATAATTTGTTTAAGGGCAGGCTATGAGTTAGTGATGGAACAGGAAACAGCATCAGAGTCCCTTGATTCATACGAGGTCTGATCTGCAGGAGAGCCAATAGTGTGGGCAGTGACACCAGGAAACAAGGAGCCACAGTTAAGAGGAGGCTGTAGGAAGTAAGGAACGAAGGCATATGACAGAGGGACCCAGGTTTTGGATGCCTGACTTGGAAAAGCTAAGAGAGTGAGGTAGAGAAGGAACTGTCAGATATACTGGGTCCATGATAGACAGCATGGAGACCATATTCTGCAGGAAATTCAAAAGCAATAATTAATATAAACGTTGAAGGTACCGACAAGAGAGTTACAGCAAGAGAGAGGTGAAAGTTTTTTTACTCCTGAACATCAGTGCAAATGACAATTTCCTCTTGCTAGCTGCTAAGGCGTGCAGTGGTTTATCCTCACAGGTTCGTGTGCTGATGGCCTGGTCCCCAAGGTGGCAGTATTAAGAGATGGTGGAACCTTTAAGAGGTGGAGCCTAGGAGAAAGTGGTTAAGTCACTGGAGGTTCTGCCTTGGGAAGAGATTAATATGTTTCACCTGGGAACGGATCGTTATCGAGTAAGGCACTTGGACCCTTCTACATGTAGCTGGTTCCTTTCTGTTTCTCTGCCAATAAGGGACCCTGAACAGATAAGGTCACCAGATCTTGGACTTTCAGCCTCCAAAACTGTGAGCTAAACAAACCTTGCTTATTAATGAAGTACCTGCCTCAATCATTTTGTTACAGCAACAGAAAACAGACCAATATACGATTAGCCAGAATCAAAAGTGGTAGTGGGAAGCATCCATGTTTGTCTCAGGTCAGTAGGACCAGGGAAGCCAGTAGACAAAAAGCAGCTTGCCAGGAGGTGGAGGTTAAGCTCCTTATGCTGGTGTTTCCATAAGCCCTGGCAAGCAGGAAGGTTCCTTCATGTACATCAGATGACACTATAGCAAAGGAAGGCTTGTCCTAGAGATCTGAACAAGATGTAGTAGGAAGCACACCTGAGCTGAAAATATTTATCTCTCCAACTTTATCTGTGCAAATAATTATTGCAAAGTGATATTCTTGCCTTTTTTTAGGTGCATCAGCGTGTGATGAGCTACCAAGTAGGTGCTCAGTACAGAGCTCTTGCTTTGAGTTGGTGGTGACTGCTGGGTAGCACTGAAAGATTAAGGAGGCCCAGCTACCCCCAACTCTCAAATATGTGGGTGCACAGAATGTAGCACAGGTTTCACTCTGAGGGTTTCTGCCCTCTGACACTATGGGATTTGGGGCTTCTTCCCTTATTATCTGTTGCTGTAAAATCAGATTTAAAAAAAAGAAGAAACTATTTTATTCTAAGTAAATAACCAAGAAGGTTAAGTCGGCTGGGGAAGAAAACTCTTCCCAAGTTGGTATGTTTACAGTATTGATGCCTTCCGGACATAGTTTTCTGAAATGCAGGGGAGGTTCTACCTACTGAGTGAAACCAATTCAAACCCATTGCTTTCTGCCAACTTGATCTGGGAAAGGTCCAACTCCTGGGCCTTTAACTTAAGACCAGGCAAATTGTGTACCAAATTACTAAACAGTGAAGGTCGTGGTTGACTTGCAATTTGAACTGGACACCACTGGTCACTGTTTCATACATAGCAAGGAAATAAATAAAAGAGAATCTAAATTTTCCATCAAGAGAGAGGTGGGCCAATATTTACTGACTGAGTGATTAATATAACACAACCATTTAAGTAGGCCTACTGTGCAGAAAACAGTAAGAAGGGATGTTGGGGGTTCATTAAAACGCTGCTCCACCTTAAGTTATACATTAAGTATTATCAAAGTTGTAAGTTTCTCATTTATAAGGATGATAACCAAATGATCTAGGCAAGTATGTTTTGAGTACCGTAATCTTGAAAGTTTTGAGATCTGACCCTGGAAAAATACTTTGAAACAGATGTCTGGGTAAGGTTTCTCTAGCTTGGCAATACTGACATTTTGGACTCAATTTTTTGTTGTGAGCGGCTGTTGTGTCCATTGTTAAGATGTTTAGCTGCACTGTTGACTCCTACCCGCCATGTGGCAGTGATGATACCCCTCCCCCAGTCATGATGATCAAAAACGTCTCCAAGCATTACCAGCTGTCCCATAAGAGCAACGCTACCTTAGTGGCTGAGAACCACTGGTCTAGAGATAGTCTGTCTTTAAGATCAATAAATGTACACAGGCCAAAGAAAGTAAAAGTTACCAAGTCAGGACACTAAAGCTTCTCATGCTGATTATTACATGTCATTCAGAGCATTTTAAAATGTATGCTGAAATGCTGATAGCAAAAATATACTTACTGTGTACAAGAAAACAAAAATCTTTCCACATCAGCAGCAAAGTGAGTTTTGTAAAGCCTTCTGCATCATATTCCACGACACCTCTAAGTAACAAAAACATACACACACAAACAGAAAACCCTCATAAAAATAAGGTATAAAAAAGATGGAACCAGGTAAAGCGTATATTTGTGAGGTTAGGGTTATTGAATCTCATGTGGATTTAAGGTGAATGAGTCTTACCACATGAAGGATGTGGGATTCGGAATGAGAACATCTAGGTTTAAGTCACAGCTTTGTCATTTACTATCTATTATGACCTCAGGCAAATACTTCAGTTTTAGATTCTCAATTTCCTCATGTGAGAAACACGTATAATATTTGCAAACTTCATTACAGGGTTGTGAAAAATAAAATATGATAAACAATAAAATGTAAACATTAATTACTAGTTATGAATAAAAGGACAAATTAAGAAGTCAAGTTAGCAATGACATTATAATACCAAATATTCTCATACTAACTGTATAATGATCATTAGGTCTCACTTTCATAAGCAATAACAGTATCACTGAATTTGGGGTTATATATTGTATAACTTTTCTCCCAAAATATGTGGACATCATTCACCTGTGTGTCCCAGCCCTTCCCCACTGGGCTCAAGGCAGAGTAGCAGTGTCAGAGGGGTGGGTGCTGAGTTCAGGAGGCAGGGACACTCTTCAACAGAATTCTGGTAGGCCTGCCTCATTCCTTTCCCCCACGAGCAGGGTGCCTGGGGGATGTTGCCACCGTAATGTGACAAAACTAAGTAGACACTGAGGACAAGAAGTATCTTCTCATCCAAGGAGGTCTTTGAAGTCTTTGGAGTTGCCTTCTCCCTGATTGGCCAAGTCAGACCAATCAGATCACTTCCACTGATGAGGAAGGGACAGCTGCAATCCTTGGAAAGGTAAAGGAACTAGGATCCTGAGGGCTAAGTGAGCTGTTTAAAGACCGTTAATAGTCATTCAGATCTTCTGCCTTCAGGAGGATTGCAAGTTTGAGCCCAGCCGGAGCAACTTAGCGAGACCTTGTCTCAAAATATAAAAGGGCTGGCAATGTAGCTCTGTGACAAGGCTCTGGGTTCAATCTCCAGTAGTGGAAAACAAACAATAACAAAAAAAACACAACCAAAACTTCTGCCATCAGTCAACAATGCTGTTTACTAGTTTCTGTTTCTATGAATTTATAATCTATTCAATGTTATGACATTGATATCTAAAATTTTTAGATATGATAGTATCTAAATGATAGTATCTGCATCCTATAGCCTTTTATCATGCATATAGTACAGCAAAACAATATAATTAGTGATTGTACACAAATAGGCTACTGTACTGTGTGCATAACATACACAAACATGTACATTAAAAGGAATGTTACTTAAAAACAAATATACATGCAGCTTTCATGTTTTTTTGTACTCCACTGGAGCTGTGTACCCCCAGGGTGTGCAAGTCCCACTCTGGAGGTCACTTTATTAGCTTCTCTATTTTTAATTATATATACTAAAGATAATCTTATATAAACATTAGAAGATTCATGTACTATTTATTAGCCACTGTATCAAAACTACTTCCTCAAAATGTTCATAAATAAGTTGAAAAAACTTAAGTATTAAAGACTCATGTGAGACAGTCATATTGTTTGGATACTGCTATTTCTATTTTGGATAATACAAAAAATGAATGAGAAAATCGCTTCACATTATTTTGAAGAATCAGAAATTTTGCTTGTAATTGTCCCACAGTTTAAAAATAATATCCCAGGGAATGGACAGTCTTGTCCTTGGCTTCATTTTTTCTTTCCTAGTCCCAATTTTCCAATTTCCTTTATTTTCTTATTTTAAAATGTACTTCTGTGCTCCTGTATATATGCTTCTATTATTTATCAACCTTCTCTGAAATAAGGTAGGCTCTACCCAGAGCACAGGAACCCTTAGCACTCAGCCCCACCCAACCGGCTGAGTGCCAACCTCGTAAGGGCTGAGGAAACACAGCCTCCCCCACACAGCCAAGGCCCGGCAGAAGCTTGGTAAGGGCCCAGATGGCATGAAAGGACACGGCCACCGAGCACGGCCTCTGGCAGCCAGAGGAAAGGACAAACGCACAGGAGGGCAGCAGCAGGAGGGGTCACTCTGCAGCTGCAGTTACATACTTCCCTTTTTGCTCTCCGTGTCCTCTTCTAACTCCTCAAGGATGAGTCTCTGCTTTTGTGTCTAATGTTAAATTTTCTTCCCAAATTTGTGTGCCCTGTTGGTAGTTTTGTCCCGTCAGTCCCTCCTCTTCTAGGTATATGACTTCCACAGTCTCAAGACTGTCTGCAATAAAATGTGTCCAAAATGCCTGCCTGGTTCACCCCTTGACTGCTGTGAGATGACAGAGGTGAAAGTGATGTGCAAACTGCAAAAAGCTCAACAGGCGAGGATTACTATCATTACTGCTGTGTCTGGGCCAAGCATGCTGTTGCTGCTGCTGTTTCTGCTTCGAGGATACCTGATTCTATTGCTTCCTAAAGAACGTTTGAAAAATGTCATCCTGGGAGCAATATACCAGACACAATTGAAATAGCATTGAAAAGGTGTGCATAAGGACTAATTACTATTTTCTTAATCAAGACCCCACATTAGGGTTGTCAGCAAGTAAGGGGATCATAGATACATGGTCTAAACAAAGCAGGACTTACGTGCCAAAGTGACTGAGGAAAGCAGCAATATACTCTCTTCTTTTATGATATCCTTGAATCACATACTGCACCTGGAATAGGAATCCAAAGCTGAGAGGAAGCGCAGAAAACATTTTTAATGTTTTATTGTGAAAAATTTCAAAGATTCAGAGAACTGGAAAGAATAGAAAAATGAGCACCCATACTCTCGCTACCTATACTCAACAACTATGACTACTTTGCCTCCCTGCTTCCTCCAGCGCTCTACACATTTATCAACCTATCAATCAAGCTTGCTGAAACATTTCAAAGGAAATGAGAGACCTCACGACAGTTCACCCTTAAATGCTTTAGTATCTAAGCTCCAAAGAATAAGACATACTCCTACATGATCGCAATGCCATGATTATACCCAACAAATTTAGCAGTCATTTTCTGGGTCCTCTAGTACTCTGTCCATTTTCAAAATTTCCCACCTATCTGCAAAACATGTTAAAAACCAAGGTAGAATCAAGGATCATGGATTTTATTTGTTTTTATGTCCTTTAAATCTTTTGAATCTAGAATAATAATGATAGCACATCCCTGAGTGTAAGTATATGTGCAAAGATGTGTGTTCCCACACGTGCACGTATGACACTGACTCTTCAATGTGACTGGTTTAGTTTTCTAGTCTCAATTATCTGATTGCTTCCATCTTTTTTCTTTACCTTCTGTATTGCCTATACAATGGAAATTAGAGCCAACGGTCTGATTAGATTTGGATTAAACATTTTGGGGAGGAAGACTTCAAGGTGGTACTGGGCTTGCTCACTTGGTTAAGGTAATGGCAGCCAGACTGCTCCATTAGGAGATGCTCCACTGTGCCACAGTGAGTACGTATCATATCTGTACTCCCTGCCCACAGCCCCTAAAGAGTAACCTATGGGGCATTTCTCAAAGCATGTGAAGACCTAGTTCCCCATGAGGCATTCACCTAATAGTTTGGTAACAGCTGGGAGATTCATTTTTTTGAATCAACTGTTTATTAATGGCTGAAAAATCACGATTTTTTGAATTCCATCATTCTTATTGCACTTATCAGCTGATGTTCTCTGTAAAAAAAAACCTTTCATCATTTGGTTTTTCCTTTTGTTTTCTTGAACTCCTATTGACAAGATAATGCTTAAATCTTTCTTTTTAAGCTTTATCTTCAAAATAAGAAGTACTAAATTACAATAGATTTTATTTTGCCTTATCACTGAGTGACAGTTTCCATTTAAAAAACTGTGAACTCATTAAGCCAGGTATCTGCAAGTTAGCCATTTACACACCAGCTTCTAACACGAAAACAACTTTCCTCATCGCGTCCTCATAACAGCTGGAGGCAACAGCAGGGGAGAGACCCCAAAACTGTTTACATGGACTGTAGCCACACCGCATTTCCACGGCTACCAGAAGCTCAAGATGAAGTACTTGGAATAACCTTGACACAACTGATACTGATGGCCACGCTGCAGGCTTTAAAAGTGAAACAATTCCATTTATGCACTAGGGTTTATGTCAATTTATAAAAACAGTGCTTACTTTGCAGGCTCAATGCACGATCAGAAATGTTATTTTCGGAAAAGAAAAACAGATGATAAGTTTGCTTAAGTGGCTTTGTTTAAAGAGGGGATGAAAACAGTTCTGTGTACTTGGTTTTAAAAACAGAAAACCATTTTAACAGAAACCCACAACAAAACTGGCTATAAAGATAGATTCCAATGTAATTATGGAAATTCATTTGAAGAGATTGTTCCTAAAAGCAGCCCATACTGTCCTCGTTTGGAGCAAACAGAAGAACGCCCATTTGAAAAGACAAGTAAAATTAACGAAAGAGAACCAGATAAGAAAAACCAACTGATTCTTGTATTTCTGGGAAAATGATATTTTAATTTTTTTGAGGAAAATGTATGACTAGAAATTAATCTCAGTTGGAGAGCTTGAAAAAGGCTTTTCTTCTCAGTTCTGGAAGACCCAATTTGAATTTTTCTCTATAATTCTGGGACACAGATTTGAGGGCGGCATAGAGCCCCAGAATGTAAATAAGAATTCTGCCCTCCGACTGGTCTTGGAGGAGGGCAGCAGCTGGGGGACTCTCGTCCCACGAGAAGCTGCCACTCTGTGAGATTTACATGCCCCGGAATCGAGGCCGGGCCCAAAGGCTGCAGAGTTACCAGGTTTTAGTTTCTCTGACATTTGAAAATGATACAGAAGCCTTTGAGATATTATTGTTCCTTTAAAATATTTTCTATATAGAGATGAGCTATCTTTTGAATGAGAGAGACAAACAAAAGATCTCTTTTCCAAGCCAATATGAGCAAGTCAACAAGAGCAAGGAAAATAGCACTTTGGCAATTAAATAAACTGAGTCATAGTCCATGTGGGAGAGAATGGTTGCTTGTGCATTAATATCTCTAGTTTTTGGCTAAAGACACTCACTGGATGTTAACAAGTATATTTTATACTTTTTGGAAGTATCTGACAACTACCACTACAGTAAATTTAGCTACTTGTCCGTGTAATGACTCATTAACACAGCTAAAACAAAGCTTTAGATAATGTGATGTGCCTTCCAGCTGACCTGGAATTCTTGTCCCTAGGAGGAGGATTCCAGCAAACTCCTCCCAGAAGTGATGGGAAGAATCGAGAACTGACTATTAAAAGGTGAGGTACAGAAAAGTAGAAAGAAATTAAGGTAGTTTTAAAGAATTACCCTGATATCAACTAGCAGCAAACATAAGCATAGATGCATGCACACACCAGATAACTGGGAAGTAAAGGGGTTCAAAAATTTAGAGCCATAGGCTGGGAATAGGGGCACACCCCTTTAACTAGCATTTGGGAGGCTGAGTCAGGAGGATTGCTGTGAGCTTGAGGCCAGCCTGGGCTACACAGCAAGATCCTGTCTCAAAAATAAAACAAAACAAGAAACCCCAAAATTTAGAGCCGTAAAAAGATGTAAGATGTAGCAGAAATGTAGGGGATAAAAGAAATTCAAGAAAGAGATAACTTAAATCTCCAGATATAAAGTTAAGAGATGAAGATATGACTGGAATAGGAGGTCAAAATCCTTAGAAAAGAAAAGAAGAGGATAAAGAAATAGGGTGAGAAACAGATGATTGGAAAGGCAGACATCAGGTGGAGGTGGAGGGGCTAGTGCATGCGTGATGACCCTGGGTCTGCGGTGTGCTGGGGGAGCCTCGCACGACAGGAGGGCCAGGGGACTGGCTTTTACCTTGTTGGTGAGCAGGTGGCACACTTGAGGAACATAATCAATGAGGCATCCTCCTCCTGGAAAAGCTGGGATGTGAAGAGCTGAGGAGCCACCGAGTGCACTGGAAGGACAAGAGCAGTGTGAACACTTCCCTCAGGGTTCACACCTTAGAAAATGAAGCCTCCAACAGACCCAGCCTCCCTCCTCACGGTCTGGCTGCCACTGCCTGGGACTGACAATGACGAGAGGTGGGGTTTACGGCTCTATTTCTATATTTGATTTTATTTTAAATTGATACGCATTTGTCGTACATAATTATCACATTCACTATCGGGAATTTGTGCCTCTACATAAGACATCTTAATTCTTTTTTCCCATTCCCCTCCCTTCAACCCTTTCCCCCTCCATTTACAAAGGCTTTGTTTCCATTTTTTCCCGTTTTTCCCTTCTCTTCCCCACTCCCTTGTCCCCCTTCCCATTTGAACATGTCCTTCCTACTTCCCAATATCTATCTTCTATTATGCTCCTTATTTACTCTTTGGGCTTCTCACACCACAGAAACAATGCATTTTCTATATTTTAATCCACTGTTACATTATCATGTACATGTTGCCCATCAATAAAAACAACTAAGGCTTTCATCACCCAAAAGCACAAATTAGCAAACGCTGACTGGCACAGACAGATGGCTTACAAACATAAACAAGTTGTGTGTATTATCGAAACACTCTTTTACAGTCTTCATTATGATGCCTGAGCCTGATTCAGTGCTGGACAAAGATAAGGTACTCATTAAACACATGAACTGAACCAAAAGGAACTGATGCAGCCTTGCAGCAGTATATTTAGACTAGTTCTATAGCTTCTCAGTTCTGTTATTCTGTATCTAAAAGCTATACAGGAACGTACAGTCTAAACAACAAAGTATAGTCAATAACTGTTGATCCAAACACTAAGATACAAGGACAATTCAGAAACAGTTTCCACAACTTTCAGAAGCGTCAGTTAACCAGCATATAACTATTAGAAAAAACTGTCAAAACTTTACAGCATGCATTTCATTTATCAACCTTAATCTTTCCTTTGCCCTAGTTTTTCTTTATTTAATGTACATATTTCTATGAATCCCTTAAAACCTCCCTGTAATATGATGAGATATTAAAAAAAAAATCTCTAAAATTCCTTCATTCTGTGATTATCCACTATCCAAGTTCCTAAAACTACTAGGTTGTAAATGGAAGAAAAGGATGTGAACTGCCTAGAAGCACACTCCTGAAGAGGTGAGGCCAGGCCGGCTAAGTGTAGGGCTTGTGATACAGGGAACACATCTAAGTATTAAAAGGACTCAAGACTCATCCTGTACTGACCATGGATTTCTGAAATTATTTTTCTGATAAAGATGAATTTTGTTTGTTTATGGGATTGAAAATGCGCAACAAACAAAAGCTCAGGTGATGTGAGGAAATCGATGTGGAAAGGAAACATTTGAAATTAACGTTTTTTTTCTCAGATGACAGCTCAGATGATACAACTCTGACAACTGAGACCATTAATGAGAGCACATCTGACTCAGTGTGACAGTAATGAATCACCTGCACTGGCAACTGCACAGAACCAGCACGGCCACTGTTTCCTTTTCTAGTATGAGAGGAGACATTGGATTTGATGTAACTAAACTCTGAGGAACGTGACGAAAATTCACAGGGCTTTCTTTCTGTCCTCTGGATGCATGAAGTATACAGAAGACAAACATCTCATTAGAAGGTTCTTACGATTCCATCAGCATGGAAAACTGCTCAAGAAGATATGGGCAAGAAAAATAGATCCATTATCTATCTTTTACAGTGACAGGTTAAGTATCTGTGTAATATGAACAAAACCAGGCTCCGGGCTGCCCATACCTTTACTTTAGAGGAACAATGCTTGGCATTATAATCCCCCAGTAGATAGTTCTCAGGACTTGGTGGTAATGGGCTCTCACTATTTATATAAAGTATAGGATAAGTTTTTAATCATTTAATAGATTACATACAAAGAAGGGAAGGAAAACAGTCTATGGGCAACCCTCTGAACTTTATCCCCCCCCCCCCGATTTCTTTACCTCTCTGAATTGTGTCATTTGAAAATATAGTCATGAAACAAAAATTACTATAATGAAGCACAGAAGCAGAAATCCAAAGCCTAGTGACTGTATTTGCTGCCAGGCCATGTTTCTACACCCTGGCACTGTGATTATTAAGAACATGTCTTGCTAACTGCTTTATCATATTACCTAATTTAATCGACCTCACATCTCAATGAGGTGGGAATGACTGCAATTTTACAGATGAAGAAATCGATGTTTGGAAAGACGAGTAAATTGCCTCAGGTTTGCAGAACTAGTTGGCAGTAGAACCAAGACAGGAACACAGGTCTGTCTGCCAGGCCTCAGAGCCTGTGCCTGCCTTTTTTTTTTTTTCCCCTGAAACAGGCTGCCTCTCTAAGGGGAGGACCTGGGGAGGAGGGCTGGGGACAGAACCCAGAGCCTCGTGCATGCTAGCCAAGTGCTCTACCACTGAGTTACACTCCCAGCCCAAGGAATGAGTTGGAAAGAAACAGTGGGTCTGCTCCAGTCTTCTGGGTCAGGATCCCAAGGAGGATAAAGGGCTCCCAACAGGCACTCAGGCCATGGCTGAAGCAGATGCTGCTCACCTCCCTTTGCACCCTTCTGTGTGGCAGGCAGGCAGACAGGCACTGATCTTTATGTTTTTCTTCCCTCTGCAGTAACCCCGGCCTGCTGTCAGACTCACTCCACCATGGAGGTGATGAGCCGACCACTACACATGGCCCCATCTACTCTGACTTTTTCCACCATGCACAGCAAGCCTCAGTGCTTGAAGCACTTCAGTATTAACGAAAGACTGCTTTAACTGAGTTTATTTCTGAAGGATGCTTATTTCACCTTTTGTTTAATAGTAGTTTCTGAGCTTGTGAGGGTGTACAGCCTACCATCCAGTGCCACACACTGATAAGTGCTGCTGATTCATGCATGCATATCCGCCTCACGGGTAAATATTTAACAGGTCAGCTATAGCCTGAATGCTGCCCTCACTATGCTGAATAAACAAAGTCAAGTGCCATGATATAGAAAATCTATGATATGTTTAGAGGGTGGGAGGCAGAGGTAAGGCCTTGTGATCTCTAATTATTTAACACTGATGAACCAAAAATTCTTGGGCTGAGCACATACAACAGAAACCTCACCCTGTGCGGAGATCTCAGCTTGCTCTGATACCCCAGGGAATGCAGGGCCCAGGAGGGAGAAGGCAGGGCCTGACCAGGCCCTGTGGTAGCTGAGCTGGGACTGGGGCTGGGTGAAGAAGAGATGAAAGGAACCACTGGGGCTGCTTCTGATCTCTAGAGCAGGGCAGGGAGGAGGCAGGGGCAAGAAGGTGAGGAAAGTAATCAGGGTGGCAGACTAAAGTTGGGAGGGGGAAAGGGTAAAAGGGGCTGCTTTGTGAGAAGGTACCTTCTATTTCCTCACGGACTATAATGAAATACGAAATTAGTTGGTAATTCTCCAAACTGAAACCAGTTCTGTGGGTATAAATGAGAAGGCTACGGTCAGTAGCCTTCTTTCCATCAATGAAGTTAATAAAACAGGTGAAAAGGTAACCAGGAAAGCCCTTCTGGCTCTGTCTCATTGGTTCTAAAAAGATACACTTAAGAACTGTCTCTGTTGAAGGTATTAATCTACAATTTTCCATGCAGATGAAGTTGATGGAGCTCTTTGTGAAATCTCCTCGGTCTGCAAACTCTTAAGAGTCTCTGATATGGAAGACTTGGCTGCAGTGTGATAGCATAAAGGAACAATTTTTGAGTATTCTGACATGGAAAAATGAAGAGAGTCAGCCTACCTGAAAACCTGACTGGAAGAGTGGCTTTGATTTTGAGTAATCACAAAATAGCAACTTCCCAAATAAAATGAGCAAAACACAATTTAGACTAGAGAAATACAGCAGGGCTAGGGATTCTCAGTCGTCAGTATTCCTTTTAGCCAGCTGGTTCTACTCAACTTTCTCAGCACTGCAGCAGGGATAACACTACTCTCAAAGAGAAAGACTCATCTCTCAAAGCATTAAAAGGGTTCGAGAAACAGAGTTGCACTGATACTATAACAGCACAAGCAGTCCCAGAGAGGCTGTCTTCCCTCTGAGTGCTCCACATCCATGGGTCACCACAAGGGACTTTCAGAGACCCACGGAGCAGGCTCTACTACTGCCCTTGACTGGGTTCTAAGGGACAGGAAGGTGACCTGGTTCCTTCCTCCACAGTGTGACTCAGGGGAGTGTGGAGGCCAATGCATGGAAATGGGGACCCTCCAGGATGGTAAACAGAGCCAAGCTGCCTGTGGCCCCCAGTGAAGGGACGGGAAAGCCTACAGGAAGGTGTGCTGACTTCAGTCAAAACACCAACTGTGTTTGTAACTCGACTGAAGGACTTGAGTGTCCCATTGTGAATTTATGACCAGGACACCACTGGTTAAGTCCCTTCAAGGTAGAGGAATGCCAGGGACCTGAAGAATCTGGGGCACTCTAAGATACAGAGTATGCTTCCTGGTGGCCTGTCAGGAAAGTCATAAGTAAACAGCCATTGTTATTTACTGAGTATGCACTTTGGCCAGGCCCTCTACTCAGCATTTCAGGGTTTCTAAACTTCACAACCCTGCCAAGTTAGCCCAACTTACAGATAAGAAAACTGAGGTTCTAACAGACTAAGTGTCTTGTTCAGAATAACTCTCCAAGTAGGTTGCAGGGAGGTCATGAACCCGGGCCTTCCTGGTCCCAAAGTCTATGCTCTTTTCCACTAGGAATGCTTTCATAGCAAAATGGTATAGAACTTTAAAAAGTCTCATGTCTACCTCTACGGTGAAACAGAGGCGGGCCGGGGATTTAGCTCAGTGGTTTCACCGCCTGCTGCGTAAGCGCAAGGACCCAAGTTCGATCCTCGGTACCAAAAAAAAAAAGAAAAGAAACAGAGGCATTAAGTGGTTGAAACTGTCTTCAAAGGTTTTTATCTGTAAAATTCACCACTTTTTATCTTAAAATATCACATCTCAGAACAAATTAACCTGGTAGTTTC